TGATCGATGCCCGCTCCAGCGGAGCTCTGGAACAGGCCCCAAAATGCGATCTCATGGATACAGAAAGTTGCGGCGGTGGAACTAGGTTTTTGGCTCCGTCCCCGGTCGTTTGGGGGTACGTGGATATATATAGGAGGAAGAAGTACGTCGGTGGAGCGCTTCGAGGGGCCCACGAGGTAGGGGCGCGCCCTAGGGGGGCGCCCCCTACCCTCGTGACCACCTCGTGGCTTCCTTGACGGAGGGTCCAAGTCTCCTCGATCTTATCTGATGATAAAATCACGTTTCCGAAGGTTTCATTCCATTTGGACTCCGTTTGATATTCCTTTTCTTCGAAACCCTAAAATAGGCAAAAAACAACAATTCTGGGCTGGGCCTCCGGTAAATAGGTTAGTCCCAAAAATAATATAAAAATGGAAAATAAAGCCCAATAATGTCTAAAACAGTAGATAATATAGCATGGAGCAATCAAAAATTATAGATACGTTGGAGACGTATCACCGAGCTCCTTAGCGAACGCAAGACAACCAAAGACCCGCAAATGGGAGACCGTCGGCTTCCGCCCATGCTAGGCCTCGTACGGTGTCCTGCCGTCGAGTGAGTAGGCGAGTGGTTGAGGATGTAGACGGCCGTCAGCACCGCCTCTCCTCAGAAAACAGCCGGCATCCCTCTCTGCTTGAGGAGATCTCGAGCCATCCCCACGACCGTCTGGTTGCGCTGCTCGACGACTCCGTTTTGCTGCGGGCTGTACGGCACGGAGTAGTGGCGCTGGATGCCCTCATCGGCGCAGTACGACGCGAATTCAGCCGTCGTTGTCAGTGCGCAACACGCGCAATTTGCGGCCGCTCTCCGCCTCCACACAAACATGCGCGCGCCTGATGGCGTCCGCCGCTTCTCCCTTGCTACCGAGAATCATCGCCCACATGTAGCGAGAGAGATCGTTAATGAGCAGCAGGAAGTAGCGTCAACCTCCTGGTGTGGCTGGCGTCACCGGGCCGCACAAATCTCCGTGCACGAGCTCCAGCTTCTCCTTGGCCCGAAAACTCGCCTGTTGGGGAAAGGGGAGTCGTCTCTGCTTCGTCAGTACGCAGATGTCGCAGAACTGCTCCACATGGTCGAGGTATGGCAGGGCTCGTACCATCTCCTTGGCACTTAGACGCTTCAGAGCCTCAAAATGAAGGTGCCCAAAGCGCTCATGCCATTGCCACGCCTCGTCGTCCCGACGGACAGTGAGACAGACCGGTTGTGCCACCTGCACATCAAGGACGTAACGTCGATTTTCACCTCTGGGTACCTTGGCGAGAAGGCGACCCTGGCGATCCCAGATGCGTAGGACCCCATGCTCAATCAGCACGCGTGAGCCGTTCTCATCCAGCTGTCCCAAGCTAATGATGGAGTTCCTTAGCGCGGGGATGTAGTAGACACCGGTGAGCAGCCGGTGCTCTCCCGTCTTGGTGGTGAAGATGACAGAGCCGATGCCCTTAATTTCCACTGCGGAGGCATCCCCAAACTTGACGGAGCCTCGCGCATCGGAGTCAAGCTCGGCGAAGAATTCCCTTTGACCGGTCATGTGGTAGGTGGTGCCGGTGTCGAGGCACCACCCCGTAGTCTTGTCTTTCCCGGAGCCATCTCCGAGAAGAGCGTGTGCTTTTGGCTCATCAAGGTGGATGAGAGCTTTTGCGACTGGTGTCGCTGAAGATAGCTCAATGCTTGCATGCACCATGAACAGAGCCATCTCCTCCTCCTTCGCCTGTGCGACGTGAGCCTGGCCTTGTCGTGGTTGCCGACACTCATTGGCCCAATGGCCAAACCGGCCACAGTTGTGGAAACTGTTGTCTTGTGCCGGCTTGGGCTTGCCAGCGGCGCCGTCCTTGGCGCCTCCGCGGGCGTCACCTTCGGCATGTCCTTGTGCCCTGCTCGGGGGGCCTCTTCGCATCTTACGCTGCTTGCCACGCTTGCGGCCGCCCGTCGTGGAAGAAGGCTCCCCCTTCTTCCTGTTACCAAGGCTGGCATCCCACGGCTCCCGAGTTAGGAGCAGCTTCCCGCCGGTGGTGATGGGCCCCGAGGAAGGTTGTGGCTCGTCGGTGTCGACGACCTTGAGGCTACCTATCGCCTCCTCGATTGTCATCATGGAGAGGTCCAGCAAAGACTCAATCGACCGAGCCATCTGCTTGTACTTCTCGGGGATGCACCAAAAAAGCTTCTCAACAGCTCTCTCCTCGGTGTAGGTGGCATCACCAAACTTCACCAACTTCCGCAGCAGAGTGTTGAGACGGAGAGCAAAGTCATCAACGTCCTCACCTGGCTTGAAACCCAGGCTCTCCCACTCCTTGCGAAGTGCCTGCAGAGTGGACTTGCGAGCGCGGTCGCTGCCGATGCGTGCCGCGGCGATGGCGTCCCAAGCTTCCTTGGCAGTCCGCTTGCTGGAAAGCGAGAGCTGCATCTCGGGCGGGGACTGCGGTGATGAGGGCGTCCAGCTCCCGTCGGTCCTCTTGGTGGTCAACGTTGCTGTCCTGGACTGCCTCCCACATGCGCTGCACCTGGAGCCTGATCTTCATGATCCCGGCCCACTCGACGTAGTTGGTTTTAGTGAGGGTAGGCCACCCAGCACTGGGACCAACATCCCCGACCACAGTCCAGACCTTGTAGAGGCTGCGGTCCTGGTCGTTGCAGCCGTCGTCGCGGTGCGCACCTCCACCTGGAGCGCGGGCGTGCTCGGCTGCCCACTGCGCCGTCCGCTCTTGCGCCACTTTGGCGTGGTCTGCGTCAACACCGTCGTCCGCAGGCGCGGAGCTATTGGAGCTGCCGGAGCCGCCGCGGAGTGCCTTGGCATCCGTCGTAGCCTCACGTGATGCGTCTGCTGCTGCTGCTGCTTCTACCTCCGCCCTGGCTGCTTCTACCTCCGCTCTGGCCACTGCCAGCTCCGCTGCAACCAGCCTCGACACCCTTGTTGCCGCAGCAGCTGTTGCTACAGCTGCTCGCTCACGCTCCTCTGCCACGGCGCGCTCGGCCTCCTGCCGGCGCCGTATGCTCGAGGTAGCAGTGTGCTAAGAACGACCTGCAGACATGGCTCGCTGCAGGGGGTTGTTGCGTGAAGAGGAGGCTATTGAAGACGAACTGCTGCTCGACAGTCCGAAGGGAGGAAGGTAACCAAAGGCAGACGGAGCAGCTGTTGCTACCGACTTAGGCTGCTCACATGAAATGCTCAGGGTACAAGTTAACGAGGCTCTGATACCACTTGTTAGACCTTTGAATTTGAGCATTGATAGTTGTGGATGACACTAGGAGTGTTGGGACAATTTTCGTTAGTTTATTTCTCACACAATGCCATGCCAACCTGAGGGGTTGGGGATACATACTTATAGGCTGCTAGCCAGCCAAGCATATGCTGAGATGCTGCTAAGATGCCAATCTAAGATGTTAATCTAAGATATTATCCTAACTGCCAGTCCTTGATAGTCAGGAACTCTATCCTAACTGCCACACGGACCATGTGCTGCAGCCCCACAGCGACCCTAGTACACAGACTTATCCATGAAATACAAACACAAAGAATACACATCCTACCTCTGCATAATTAGGATACACACGACTATGAGATAAACTAAAGTAATCCTTCAAACTTTTTGAAATGATGTGTCAGAGTTAGACGAAACCTAAGGCCGCTACACAGTCCGAGAACAAAAGAAGATGCAAGATAGGACTAGGGAGAACGCTCTAAGCTTGATACCAGCTCGCACCGCTCAGTGGGACGCGAGACAAAGGGGAACTTCAGTTCAAGATCAAGGTGAGAGTATCAAGCTTGTCATCACCTGCAACTGCAAATGTCTCTTTGTCGTTCCCGGTCATAGTGACACACTGCCACCGCCTGTGGTCAGCTGGGCTGCGTTTGCGGCGTCCGGCCGGGTTCAGTGGTGGCGGAGCCAGAAGCGTTTTATAGTGTGCGTCATGGTTTCAAAATTTTCTTCCTTTTTAGTATAATTTTCTGCAGTGTCATGTTTCTCATTTCTAGAATGTACTGGTAACAATTTGGCCTCAATGCCACGGCATGCTTTATTAATTAAGCATTGAAATGCCGTAACCTTAACGAGGAACTCCAGTTCCTTCGTCTTAAATAATAAACAGAGTAAAAGAAAGAGAAAAAATAGTTTGATATGGTGGTATACATGTGTATTTTTTTTTTAGATTTTCTTGAAACTGAAAATTTTGGTTTTTTTTCCCTTTTTTTAATAAAAAATTGGCCTCCAAATTGCCCTACTCCTCAAGGCGGCGTTATACAAATTTCCATGTAACAAGTCTACTACTTCTGTCTATTAGACCCTATCTTTCTTTAGTTAAATTTTGAACATAAATTTAACTAAAAAAACTATGTCACAAAAATTATAACGTGCAAAATCTCTTTCATATACAAATCTATCTAATTGTATTATTTGACCCAAAATTCGTAAACCCAGATGGAGGAAGTACTCAGTAAAAGCTTTTAACTCCTTGCTCCATTTTCTGTTGTTTGTTTCATCATCACTTTTTTTTCTTCTTCTTACAACGTTTTTTCTACTCATTGCCTACTTGAAATTCAAAATTGACAAGTATTTCCATCTTGTTTCTAAAAAATTCAATCTGACGTAATTTGTTTTATTAACGAATAAAACAGTTCGTTTCTCAAACAACATGTAATACAACCCTGAAGTAGGATGATGTATTCTCTCGTAAAGGAAATTAATTAATACATAGACCATACAGAAACGAGAGAACATCAGATGTTAAACAGAACTGGCATTGTCAATTTGTCACCAACGTGTTTATACACCAAGTCACAAGTCATGGCGAGTTTATTATTTGTATTGGACTATACAACAACAGTGTTTGGTATTTCCCCATCTCTATTGTTCCATACTTCCATTTACATCAAAGCAGTGCCACGAGGGCATCAAGATACAAAAGGATTGGCATATATTTACAAAAGGTCCAGCAAAGCCAAGTACAGATGTTTGCATCCTATAAGTTCAGTTATTTGTACCCACCAAACTGACCTGGAGACGAAATACCTCATGGACAGCACCACGGTTGAGAATGACTAGAACTTTTGCCCCGTCGTCGCTGGTGAGCCAACTCAGTGAGTTTTTGTACGACTCATAGTCATCAGGCAACCTAAAACCATAGAACCATCGACCAAGCTTGAGCAAGCTCACACACACCTTCCTTTCTGCTACCTGGCAGGCTTGAAGTGCTTTATCCACCTCATTGGGCTGCAAGAATAATTGCATGTCAAATCCGCATTTTAGGAGCATATATCCAAACTTGGTCAGATTACTCAAGCAAGAACATATGTTGTGAAGCAAAATAAAACTTCACAAGGCTTGACAATTATATTGTCCAAAGCTTTCTGATGTTACCAATCATATATTATCTGAAGTAGTAAAGTGTTCTCTTGAGGTATGTCATAGTACGTTTATACATGACCAAACATGGCATGCCTGTGCAAAGGGACTACCCATTTGTCCTTACGGTGTGCATAGTCTGCTATTAAACACCTGAAGTGCTTCAAGCTAACATAAGCTTCCAGAACAAAACTTGACCTTGTTTGAGGAAAAAGACATAATGAAGCTTGACCTCAGTGCAACAGAGTGTGACACGCTGAACCTAACAATGGTGAATTTTGGAGGAAAGATGAGATCAAAGATTCGAGGGGACTAATAAAGTTTGTTTACATCTGAATGATATAGCTCTCTATACCAGGTAATAGGTAATGGTATTTCAAGAACAACAGTGGAAAATGGTTCCAACAACTTTCTATAGCAAAAAAAAAAAGTAGTATAAACTTATTGGGTCACAGAGAGCATGTATCATAAGAAGAGCTCAACAAGAACATCAGGAATCATAACTCACCAGTATATGCAAATATGCAATGGAGTAATGCAATCCAATAAGATTTATTATCGCACTGCGATTTCTTGAAAGCAAGAAAAACTGGACATTGACGAAGCCTATATCCTTCATCAATGCCAAATCAGACATAGCTTTCAAATAACATTCAGCTTCAAGCGAACCGTTATGCGTGCTGCTCTCCACAAATTCAACCACTCTAGAGATAGCCACAGAAGTTCTTCCATGGTTGTTGATGTAGAGAGCTTTCCATCCCTATACCAGGTAATAGGTTAATCTGTTATGCTTTGGGCAGCAAGGAATAGGTGAATGTGACGAGAAATACAATCTGGAATGGATTAAATAGTTCTTCAAGTTCATTTTATACAACAGACAAGTGAAGACCTCACAAATAATATAGGTACCATTCTGGTCCTACACCTATGAAGAACACTACATTTTAAACTGATCCGAGACATTTTAAACAGTTCTGCATAATATTCTGGCTAAGAGACCCCTCTTTTTTTCTTTTTTTTCTTTTTTTTTGCGAACTGGCTAAGAGGCCTCATGAAGGGAAGGAAAACCTGGGGTGCCTATTGGCTCTACACAAAAATTGGACCTTAGACTGAACTAGAACCCAAGTTCAAGTGCGTCTTTCCTCTACAAAAGCGAAGACATATTTTAGTAAGAAACTCATGAATTGTCCTAGTATCCGAGACTTATTTGTGAGGTCTTCACTTGTCTGTTCTATGGTATCGCGACAAAATAATTCCTAGTTGACGTACGACAGTGAAATTAGCTTCACATCAGTTTCTGCACAGAATCTAGCATGACACACCGACTTTAGTAGCATAGCAAACAACACTGCAGGGTGTGAAAGCCCTGAATAAGTATTAAACTGAACTTGAAGAAGCAAACACTAAATGAAAACAGTACCAACTACCAAGTGCCAAAAGCTACATCAGATTTGTTACTTATATGAACTATCATAGTTGTTCAATCTAGTATGCAGGCCACATGAACTGTGAACCCAAGAGAAAAATCTGTTGGGGGAAATGGACATGAGAGCTGTATTCTGCTCTCTGCAGTCTGTACCCACCTGCGCACGGGAAGCCCCTGCCCCTCCGGCCGCCATAGCGGCCGCGGTGGCCGGCCAGCGGCGGCGGAAGAGGCCCTCCCACACGAAGTTGGCGTCGCAGGCGCGGCGCCAGGACCGGGAGCACCCGCCGAGAGCGCACACGTCGGCCTCCTGAGCACGGCTCGAGCCAGTCAACGAGCGAGCCACATACATACTTCAGCGAGCTACGCGTATACAGAGGAACGGTGAGAGAGAGGCGCACCTGGAGGCGGGACGCGACGGCGATGGCTATGTCGTCGGGAAGGTCGTCCCACCTCCCCTCCGGCGAGGACGGCGACGGCGAGAGCCCCATTCCGATTCCCCTCCCCTCTGCTCCGATTCTGCAGTGTCAAGCTAACGTAACTGCTTTGTGTCGGGGAAGCGGCGGGACTCGGATCATTTGCGGCCGCGCGATCGGGCCACGTCAGGGCCACGTGGAGGAAGGGCCTGGGTCGCACGCGTACCCCGGGGATTCTTTGTGGCGGATCCGTCTCGGGTCGCACCTCTCCCCCTCCTCAATCAATTCCCGACGGCGACCGAGGTGGACCAGCACGCCACGAGCGTAACCAGCACCTAATCAAATTAAAACGCCCCTAGTAGTAGTAAAAAAAATTCAAAAAATAACGTGCCGTGTTAGGAGACCGCGGATTATTTTATTCTACTCCGTATTTTATTTTATTTACCGCCCCCTTCAACTTTTTGCCATATATACGTATTTTCTTTCGTACTTTCGCTTGCCCTGCACTTCTCCTACTCCGAATATTTCTCTCTCGCAGGCCCGACGCGACGCGACCCCCTCCCCTCCCTAATCATTGATTGATTGCCCCTCGCTCGACCGGGCCGAGGTTTCTCCCGCCGGCGAGGAGCGGGCCCGCTCGCGCGCAGACAGAATCCGGTCTGAAGGGCGGTTTTGCTCGGCTCCGGCTCGGTGTGTTTGGTGGATCGAGGGGATGGAGCGGCGGCGGTGGCTGCAGGCCGCGGTTCTAATGTGCTTGCTGCTGCTTTGCTCCGGGAGAGGTACGGCTGCTCGCTTTTCTCTCGCCCTGACTGTAGTTTCTACATGTGCTGCGAACCTGCCCTGCTTGCCGGTTAGTCTTGCCTCGGGTCAGGGCAATGTTGTGGCTATGTTCATGAGTCGATTAGGAGCTACAACGCCATTATTAACCAGCAGTTGTCTGGTCACTAGTTCACCACATGTTGTTTGATACTTTGATTGACTCCTGTTATGTGCTCAAACTCCAAAAAACTTATATGCTTGTGCACACCTTGTCATCCTCTGCAATGATTCTTAGCCTAGCTACTCGGTTCTATACCGTGTCATGATCGATTACTCAACGCATTCTTGTATTCTCATGTTGGTCCTGTTTTCTTCATTCAGAACTTAAGAACAAAAGACAAGCGCCAGCATATAATTCCACTCTCGCCAAGACGCTTGCAGAGTATACTTCAGCAGTAAGTTTGCCTGTCATCTTGTCTTCTTCATCGTCCAATTCAGATTTCTAGTGTAATATCTATCCAGTAGTAATGGGTTTAAACATTGCTGCTGTTTTTTACAGGTTTATACTAATGACCTGTCACAGTTATTCACCTGGACCTGTGAAAAATGTGGTGACTTAACGGAGGTATTCTTCCTCTTCTCTTATGCATGATTTTTTAAAGAAAGGGCAAGAAGATGGTTTTGTTCAAGATTTATCATTATTCATATGTAGTTTGGTGTGGTTGACTGATTAGGTTTGTTTTATGACGCAGGGGTTCGAGGTGATCGAGCTGATTATTGATGTGAAAAATTGCTTGGAGGTTATCCCTCTATCCATGATCTTTCTTTTTTACCTTGAATATACTCTTCTTTCACATTGATGTTGATAGTTTTGATGAGCCAGGCATATGTCGGTTTTGCAAGTGACATGAATGCTGTTGTAGTTGCATTCAGAGGGACTCAGGAGAACAGGTTCTTCTTCTATATCTTTTCCTTATTAGTGGTTATTACTTATTATAAAGGCTGCTTTGGAATGTATTATTCAGTAAGCATATAACATCAGAAACAATGAATTATTTCTAACATGTGAGGTATCTTAAATTGATACCTGAAGTCTTGCTCAATCAGATAAATCTGACATAGTTCACATCCTGCTATTTTTATGTAAATAATGTTTCTCCTCCATTCTCTCAGCATCCAGAATTGGATTGAGGACTTATTTTGGAAACAACTTGATTTTGACTATCCAGGCATGACTGAAGCAAAGGTCAGCATGGCTAAAGTTTTTGTGATGAAAATGCTGGTTCATGCACTGTATTAATGTTGGTGATCTATCTGTTTATAGGTGCACAGTGGGTTTTATTCTGCATATCATAATACAACATTGCGTGATGGAGTCATCAATGGCATCCAGAAGACCAGGGAAGCATATGGCAATATTCCCATCATGGTGACAGGACATTCCATGGGAGGGGCCATGGCTTCGTTTTGTGCCCTTGATCTAATTGTGGGTGCTAATATTTGTCTGAAGAAGATATGCTTTCATTTATTTAGAAGTTTATCTACTTTTCATGAATTCATCCTCCTGCTAAATTCTACTACAAGCTGTCCTTTTTGAATGGAATAGGGTGCATTGTTGGGGATTCCATTCCTCCTCTGTTCTTAGTTTTAATCAATTCATTCATCTGTATAAAATGCATTGAAAGAACTTCTAACATCACTAAAATCAATACTACATAATTAGTGCACAATTCTCAGACTGAACTCTCTTTACATTTGATAGACTAGTTATTACTAATATTTTGTTGGGGATCACAGCAAGTGTCAGCCGATCAAGAACCTCAGTGATAGTATAATCTGATTTCTGTGCTTGTTCTTCTAAATACAAAAATCTTAGACGTGGCAGATGTAACTATCTTTGTTCATGTGTGGACAGTACACCTTCTGTATATTTGAACAGTTGCATCAAGCATAAGTAATACTAGCGTCTGTTTTTGTCATCCTGAAAAGTAAGACATTCTTCTGATTTTAGCCACCATGGTAACACATATTTCTGTGTTCTTGTAGGTTAACTATGGGTTAAAGGACGTGACCCTGCTGACATTTGGGCAACCTCGGATTGGTAATGCTGTGTTTGCTTCCCACTTTAAGAAATACTTGCCAAACGCAATTCGAGTTACCAACGCACATGATATTGTGCCTCATCTACCCCCGTACTACCAGTACTTCCCACAGAAAACCTACCATCATTTCCCACGAGAGGTATACATCGTTCTGTCTCACTTCCACCTTTGCTAATAACTAAAACTCTAGACTTACACCTGATGTTTATGCTTTTCTGGGAGATGTGGTGAAAATTATCCGTCATTTAACCGTCTCCTGTCCATTTTCTGGCGCATTTCACATATATTTTCAGGTATGGGTTCATAATATTGGACTCGATAGCCTAGTATACCCGATCGAGCAAATCTGTGACGATTCTGGTGAAGACCCCACTTGCAGCAGGTCCTTCCCGCTCTCACGTTTTAACATTCTGTCCTTAGTGAACTCTTTGCCAGCTGATGTTCTTTCACCCTAACATTGCTTTTCTGATCAGGTCCGTGAGTGGAAATAGCGTGCAAGACCATATCCACTATCTTGGCATTAGCATGCATTCTGATTCGCGCGGATCATGCAGGATCGTCACGGATGACAATATGCTCAGGCACAAAGTTGACACTGTAGACGGTGCTATTGTCTTCTCGAAGCAGCCTGGTTTATCAGTTGATCAGCTACTCAGTACACAGTAAACAAGCTCAAGATTACATGGATTTATTTTGATGGTTCTTTTTTTTTCCAAAGTACAATATTCTTGTTGGCAATCAAAGCACTATCTCATGTATATATACGCGCGTGATCCTGGCTGGATTAAATTGTCCTAGCTGAGGGTGTATTTCTGAAGTGTACAAACATATTTATGCTGATTAACTTGTTCATATTCTTGTATATAATTTAATTTGTTTAAGCATGGTGGTTGCTTTCATTATGTATGGTGAAGTGCACAGGTCAGTTTGTGGTATCAATGTTTTCAAAAATGTTGAGGATGTCTGTACACAATGGTTTTTGACATTCCTCCCATCAAATGCTTTGTTTTACAATTGCCTCGTTTTGATATTCAAGTTAGACTATTAAACTTTACAAGGATGTGGTAAAAATTTAAAAATCTGCACAACTATAGTACATACATTCCATTGGATATGGAAATCAAGCGTCTCCCTAAATAGAAATTCTTTTTTTGGCTTCTCCTTTAAGACAGACTGAACACAAGGGGTTTACTAATCAGAAATAATTTCTATGTCAGAAAATAACAGATGTGTTTATGTGTGATGATGAACCTAATGAAGATTACATCCACCTTTTCTTTTTATGTGACTTTAGTCGGAACTTCTGGATTGCACTTGGTTTTTAATGGAATGCCATAGTTGATATGCTGATGGAAGCCAAAAATAGAAGGACCCTGATAAGTGGCACACATGTGGCACGAACACATGACAACTCCGAACTTTTTTATGACAAGTTTAGTAACACAATGATGGCAACTTCCTTTTTGGGTGGCAATTTTCAGTTTTTTGGAGGCTTATTTTTTCTTTTTGGACGGCAACTTCAGTTGTAAAAAATGTTAGGGTTGGAGTGCTTCATGTCACAGGTGTAACACTTACCATTTAGGAAATAGAATGCCAATTCCATGTTTCAAAGAGTGCCTGATCACTGGATGTTGGAGCATATGGGGAACATTTTGCTATGGTAATCAAGAAAACCAAGCCTAGGCTTAAGGAGGGTATGCAATCATGGTGATTATTTGTAGACAGCATTTGTAAGATTCATACATACATGATAATTCATAAATATTCATGTACTGCTATCATGTTCCACCATAGAAATATGAATCCTATTACCGGGTGTAGTTACACTCATTAACAACAACAACAACAACAACAACAACAACAACAACAACAACAACAACAACAACAACAACAACAACAACAACAACCACAACGACGACGACGACGACGACGACGACGACGAACATCCCCTTTGTTCTTGAAGATTGGTACTAATATATTCGTCTCCATTCTTCTGGCATCTTGTTTACCCGAAAAATGAGGTTGAAAAGCTTTGTTAGCCATACTATCGCTATATCCCCGAGGCTTTTCCACACCTCAATGGGGATACAATCAAGGCCCATCGTCTTGCCTCCTTTCATTCTTTTTAAAGCCTTCTTGACCTCAGACTCCTGGATTCGCCGCACAAAAGGCATGCTGGTCTCATCAAAGGAGTCGTCCAGTTCAACAGTAGAACTCTTATTCTCTCCATTGAACAACTTGTCGAAGTACTCCTGCCATCTATACTTAATCTCCTCGTCCTTCACCAAGAATTGGTCTGCTCCGTCCTTAATGCCTTTGACTTGGCCAATATCCCTCGTCTTCCTCTCTCGGATCTTGGCCATCTTATAGATGTCCCTTTCGCCTTCCTTTGTGCCTAACCGTTGGTAGTGGTCCTCATATGCCTGACCCCTTACTTCACTAACAGCTCGCTTTGCGGCCTTCTTCGCATCTTGTACTTCTCTATGTTGCCTGCACTCCTATCCAGGTATAGGCGTCTGAAGCAATATTTCTTCTCTTTAATCGCCTTCTGGACATCATCATTCCGCCACCAGGTATCCTTATCTTCGCTTCTTCTTCCCCTAGGCACTTCAAACTCCTCCAAGGACACCTTACGAATGCAAGTCGCTATCTTCATCCACACATTGTTCGCATCCCCTCCTTCCACCCAAGGGCCCTCCTTAATGACCCTCTCCTTGAACGCCTAAACTACCTCCCCCTTGAGCTTCCACCACTTCGTTCTAGCGACTTTGGCACGGTTATCCCACTGGACACGAATCCAAAAGCGGAAGTCAGCAACCACCAGCTTGTGCTGAGGTACAACACTCTCTCCAGGTATCACCTTACAGTCTAGGCTCGCACGCCTATCTTCTCTTCTTGAGAGGATGAAATCAATCTGGCTAGAGTGTTGGCCACTACTAAAAGTCACCAGATGTGATTCTCTCTTTCTAAAGAGGGTGCTAGCTACAATCATGTCGTAGGCTAGAGCAAAGCTTAAGACATCTTCTCCTTCTTGATTCCCGATGCCATAGCCAAAGCCCCCATGCATCCCTTCAAATCCTGTGTTAGATGTACCCACGTGGCCATTGAGGTCTCCTCCTATGAAGAGCTTCTCGCCAATCGGTATACTCCTAACCATGTCTTCCATGCCTTTCTAGAACTCCCTCTTGGTGTTTTCATCGTGGCCTACTTGCGGGGCCTACGCGCTGATAACACGCACGCCCACATACACACACACAGTTGATAAAATTTGTCTAAAATGGTTGTGTACTCCTGGGAGTACGTACTCCCACTCCTCATACACTACATAGATGAATATTTTATACCTCATTATTTTTTCTAATATACTTCATTAATAATTACTAGATACCCCAAAATGAATTTCATGAAGAAAAAAATTCATGTGTCTCATATTTTTGAACAGTTACGTATATACTGATTTGTTTGTACGTGAAAAAAGTATATACAAAAAGTACGCCGCAATGATATATACATACTCTCAGGAGTACAGAAAATTAATCCTATATATAATCACACGATATCCAAAGTTTCCATAAACATGAGACGAACATCGAGGTTCACATCCAAGTACACATACATGACATACATCATATCCAGGTTCACATATACATCATGAGCAGCACAAAAGTGACTTTAACTGAAAGAAATTAGATGATGTTCACAAGCTGAGCCTTCTTTTGCCTCTTGTGCTAATTGTAGGGCTGTCCAAGGTTTACTTGGCTTCTCTTGCCCATTGCAGGGTTGTCAAATGACATCATAGGAATGTTTTCATCCTTTTTAGCAAGCACTATCTTTTCCCTTTTGGCCCTTGCCTTCACAGCATAGTCTGCTTGCTCCGTAGGAACATGAATAGGCTCAAGAATGAGCTCAGGTTTATTAGATCCAGTTCTTGATCTAAATTTGTCCATGGATGGTAGGCGGTAGCAATAATTTTAGAGCAAATAACAACATTAACCATGCATAATATTCAGAACTCGCAAAGCTCACCTTTTACCATCTTTTCCTTTTTTTTTCTTATTTGTAGTCTCCAACCTTTGGCTATGGATTAGGTCAATACATATAAATCGAATTTAATTTTCATTTGGCACAAATCAATCTCGGTTTTCATTTCGCACAAGTGGAATTGCTAACCTTGATAGAAAACACATAGCGGTTGTCGGTGCCTCATCCTCTCTTGACACAATGGATGACTCGGGTAGTGTTTCTCCTCTTCTTTGGTGGTTCTCTACATGAGCAATTTTTTTAACATGTATGGTTGAGTACAAAACACTAATGCCCGAAAGTATAAGAAATTAGAAAACAAGTTGATTAACTCACAACCATCATAGTAGCAATGTCATCTGGGTTACCCTTCTTGAAATTGCGCCAATGGTGTCTCCTTACAATTTTGTTGAGGTCATGGGACGAGGCACATGATATACATGCAGTCAACAGTAAATAAAATATATGTTCTCACCTTCCATTTTAACTAAAGTCCGAGCAAACCAGTGCTAGATGCATCCATTTGAGGAAGAAGCTTGAGACAAGCTTTTTCGGACGGAGGAAGTATTTTTTAAGAGCATGCACGGTGGTTTATAAGACAATAAAACAGTGTACAATGGGCATAATGCAATAAGAAAGTATACAATGTGCATAAAAAACATTTTCCTCTTGGTTCTCACTCCTTTGTTTCGCACTTAGTAACTAAATACCCCTAAATATGTGGTTCTCGTTTTTAGCCCACAACCGTACGAGGTGACCATTTCGTCGTTTTGTATTACCCATGTAGCAGCTCAATTTTAGCCGCTCCCAGTCAAGAAAAAAGAAACAATGAGTGGAATAAGCGTGGGCCACAATACTAGGAGCACTCACCTCACCTCACTCTCCACCAAGCTTCAGTTTTGGGATCCCAAATTCGCATCCCAAGAAGGGGGTTTTGATTTTTAGCCACCACTTACTTCGCACTTTGATAATTTGCCACTCTTTACATTATAATTGATGTGTTGCCACTCAATACTTTGCACTTTGATTTTTTATCCTCTGTCAAGTGGGTCCCATGTAAAATGACTAGAGTACCCCGCCCTACATATTGATTATTCCCACCCTCTCGCCCGCAACGAGGCTAAATTTCGTGTTTTGACCCTTTTCTGAAACCTATTCGAGATCCCTAGTTTGAAAAAATTTCGAGATCTGACCCTTTGTGCATGCCCTACCGCCAAAAACCTCCTAAGTATTGAACACAGTGCATGCTCGTACCTCCCGCCAAGCACCTTGGCGGTAGGGTTGTGCAGGCTACCGCCAGCCCGGTTGGCGGTAGCGATGTTTTCTACCGCCAAAGTCCCTGGCGGTAGGCTGTTAGACCCTACCGCCATGGACTCTGGCGATAGCAAAAGGGTCAAATCTCAAAAAAAATTAAACTAGGGTCAAATCTTGAATAGATTTCAGAAAAGGGTCAAAACACGAAAATTTGCCCCGCAACGATGGCAGAGACGGCGGCAACGCTCGTCATCCCCGGCCAAGCCCCGTTCTGCCTCCTCCCTCCCTCGATCCGCGCCATAGCCGCCGCCCAGAACCGTGAGTCATGACCAAACAGGCACTGGGCGGGCACCGGAGAGAGCGCATGCTGGCCTGGCGCGGTGCTTCAGCGA